TACAGTGTATCTCTTTTATTAAGGAGGCAATATAAAATACAGGTTAAAAGTATAGACTCTGATAGGAAGAATTAATATTATTAAAATGTCCATACTACCCAAAGCAATGTATAGATTCAATGCAATTCCTATCAAAATACCAATGGTATATTTCACAGAACTAGAACAAATATTCCAAAAATTTATAAGGAACCACAAAAGACCCCAAATAGCCTAAGGAATCTTGAGAAAGAAGAACAAAGTTAGCGGTAGTAATTCTACCTGATATAAAACTATAGTATAAGGCCATAATAATCAAAACAACACGGTACTGGCATAAAAACAGACATATAGATCAATGGAAGAAAACAAAGCCCAGAAATAAACCCATGCCTTTATGGTCAATATTCGAGACAAGAACATACAATAGGGTAAAGGCAGTCTATTCAATAAATGGTGTTGGGAAAATTGGACAGATACGTGCAAAAACATGAAACTAGACCACCTATTTACATCATACCTAAGAATAAACTCAAACTGAACTAAAGAGTTAAATGTAAGACTCAAAACCATAAAAACCCTAGAAGAAAAGATAGGCAGTAAAATCTTAGACGTTTCTCGTAGCAGTATTTTTGTGGTATATATTTTCGGGCAAGGAGAATAAAAAAGTAAATGAGACTACATTAAACCAAAAAGTTTTTGCACAGCAAAGGAAACCACCAACAAAATAAAAAGACAACACACTGAACGGGGAGAACATACTCACCAATGTTACATCTGATAAGGGGTGTTAATATCCAAAATTTAGGAAGAACGGGTACCACAAAAAACACAATCCCGTAAGAAAATGGGCAAAGGACTTGAATAGACACTTCTCTAAAGAGGATATAGTAGTACACATGGCCAATAAACATGAAAAGATGCTCAATGCCACTAATCATCAGAGAAATGCAAATTAAAACCACAATGGGCTATCACCTCACACTTGTCAAAATGGCTATCAATAAGTCCACAGATGACAAGTGGTGAAGATGTGGAGAAAAGGGAACCTCATGCACTATTGGTGGGAATGCAGATGGTTGAAGCCACTATGGAAAACAGTATGGAGGTTCCTCAAAAAATTAAATATGGAACTGCTTTATGACCCAGCAATTCCACTTCTGGGAATATATCCAGAGAAACCTGAAACGCTGATTCAAAAGAGTATATACACCCTATATTCATTGCAGTGCTATTTACAATAGCCAAGATTTGGCAGCAACCCAAGTGCCATCAGTAGATGAGTAGGTAAAAAAGCTGTTGTATATTTACACAGGGTATTATAAGTGAAACCACAGTCAGACAAATACCATGTGATTTCACTTACATGTGGAATCTAATGAACAAAACAGAAAGAGACTCATAGAACAAACTGACAAGGGAACAGGGCTGGGTGAAATAGGTGAAGGTATTAAGCAAAAACAACTCAGACACAACAGTATGGTGATTACTAGAGGGAAAGGAGGGTTGGGGGCATGTATAAGAGGGTGAAGGAGGAATAAGTGGTGGAGAAAGGAGACTGGATGGTGAACACATAATACAGATGATGTATTATAGAATTGCACACTTGAAACCTATATAATTTTATTAACTACTGTAACGCCAATAAATTCCATTAAAAAACAAACAAACAAAACTTAGGGGGCGGGGGGAAGAGTGGAGCCTGCCAGGCTGGGCTGAAGTCATTCTGCCACCTATTCTGTGATACAAAGTCAGTTATTAAATCCTACTCTGCCTTTGTTTCCTCATCTGTAAAATAAGGTTGTTGAGAAGATGGCGTTATCTTAATACACGTAAATGGCTTAGAATGGTGCTTAGCACACAATGCTAAGTATTCACATGTTATTTCAAGATGAATAAAACAGATGCTGATTACAAGATAATGCCCTACCCCTTCCATCATATTGACATCACACTGCTTTCTAGTCCCTGGCTTGGTCTAGAAAAGTTGCCAAGGCCATTACCTTGCCTCCATGGTTAGATTGAGGTGATAAGTTACTACCAAAAGTTCATACTCAAGCCTGGCTTGTGTGGCTCAGGGGTTGAGTGTTGACCAATGAACCAAAAGGTCACTGGTTTGATTCCCAGTTAGGGCATATACTAGGGTTGCAGGCTCAATCCCCAGTAGGGGGTGTGCAGGAGGCAGCCAATCAATCTACCTCTCTCATCGATGTTTCTACTTATCCCTCTCTCTAAAATCATATTTTTTAAAAAAGTTCATACTCAACAGTGGTTTCTTTTGTTGTTAGGCTTATGGTTAAATTTAGCTTTAAGGTTAGTGTTTGGGTATCAATTAAAGGCTAACCAAGTCATCCTTGATGGACACAACCAGAAATAGCAAACTCAAAACCCTTTAGCAGGCAGGAAAAATCAATGTATAAAGTCT